GCGGACCGTCTGGTGCCCGCGGCGGGGCGGGGGCCGGCCGGCGTGGGAAGGGCCTGTCACTCTGGGCGGAAAGTGGGGCCTCGGGCTGTCCCGCGAACTTTCCCAAAGGCCTGGGTCCAGGTGCCCCGTGGGAGCCGGAGGACTCGGACCCGGCGTCCCGGGAGACGAGGCTGGGCCGCCCGGCCGCGCCGTTGGCGGGGAGGCTTCCAGGAGTGCGCGGCTGGAGTTGGAGCTTTTCGAGTCTCAGCTCCCATCCTGCCATCCCAGACCGAGGGAAGCAATAGCATTTTTATCCAGACGGTGCCGTTTGCAGACTTCCTTAAAAGTTACCACTTTTTATTTTCTTTACTCTTCCGCCTAGCATTTTCTTTAAACAAAATTTAGAATTTGGCTGCGATGGGCCGACGCCGGGGCCAAAAATCCACACTTTTATCTCTCCATCCCTGTTGGTTTCTAGTCCACCTCCCCCTCTTCGCCCCCAGGCTTAATCATATTTTGGAACGGGCGAGGTGTTTTGTTGGGTGGGCACCCCCTGATTGCTTATCTGTTTATTTTTTAATGTGCAACTAATTTGATTAGAATTTTCCCCAGTTTCCAGGGCTTGCTAGGGAAAGCTAAGGGAGAGGGAATATGCCTCCTCCTCCCTTCATTCTTTTTTTTCTTTCTTTTTTAAAAAATGTGGCAAGAGGTGGGGCATTGGGAAGGGGGAGGCACGGTGGTTGTGGGCAAAGAGTCAGAAGAAGCAGACGGACCCGGAAGAAAAGGAATCTACTCTGGAATAACACTTTTTCTGAGGCTTCAGGCCTTGGGCAAAATTGCTCTACTTAGTTCTGATTTCAGCTGCTGGAGTTGCTCCTCCACAGCTTTAACAGCAAGTCAAAGCTGTGACCCCGGGCGCCTGGGCAATGCCCCACTGCTGATAGCAGCCTGTGGCTCTGGTTTTTTGTCTTTAGTGGGGACCCTTGGTTCCCCCTCATTGGAGGCTGACTCTCTGAAATTTACTGGATCAGTAAATTTCTTTGCTCCCTGGGAGCAGCTGTTAACAAGGGTAAAGTCTCTGGCCATGTTTCTGGCCCTTCTAGGGGACCTCACCCATGAGGGTACAATTCTCACTTTGTTTAGAAACCAGAGTGGCACCCACAGACTGGCTAAGAATGAGGCACAGCTGGTTTAAAAAAAAATTAAGCCATTACAAAATTGTTTTTAAACTCACATATGTTTTTAAGGTATTTTGGTTTAAGTGCTTTTAAGAGAAAAATAGTGTTCATCTAAAAGAAATGTCAAAACTGCAAGATCTCATTGTGGAATAGGGGGTTGTAGCTTCTAATTACAGTATATACAATTTCAGAAAGATATTCCGGTAATCTCTTAAGACAGACTTTATAAATAGCTCACATCAGACCATGGGCTGTATTGTAGAGCCAGTCTTCTGGGGTTTCTGGGAGAATGCTTGGGATCTGTCAGGAAGCTCTAGGAGCCTTGGTGGTAGTTTACTCAGTAGGATTTTGGATTTTGTGCCCCTTTTGCTCAACACTTTCTTTAACATGGCATCATTTGATAGGGTCCTTAGAAGTTGACCAGAAGAACTTCCCAAAGTTTTCAGTTTAGGAATATGAGGCCCAGGAAGGGAAAGTGACTTGTTCCGGGTCACCATCATAGATCTAAGTCCAGTATAGGATTGTGTTAATAGCTATTGTTTCTTGGATATCTAATGTATACTAAGCCCTGTCTCTTGTGCTTTTTTATAATTAGCTAATTAAAATTCCAGTAACAGTCTTTCAATTGAGGTGGTGTTATGCACATTTTACAAACAAGGGCATTGAGATTTACAGAACTTAGATAATTAGAAAATTCATAAGATCACATAACCTACCAACAGCACTGCCCGATAGAATTTTCTTCAGTGATAGAAATGGGTCTATCTCTGCTGTCCAATATGGTAGCCACAAGGCACATATCACTGGATATTAGAAATGCGGCTAGTGTGACCAATGAACTGCATTTAAAATTTTACTTTTAATTATTTTATTTTATTTATTTTTTAAAGATGACCTGTAAGGGGATCTCAACCGTCGGCTTGGTGGTGTCAGCACCACGCTCAGCCAGTGAGCCAACTGGCCATCCATATATAGGATCCGAACCCGTGGCCTTGGTGTTATCAGTACCGCACTCTCCCGAGTGAGCCATGGGCCAGCCCTACTTTTAATTATTTTAAACTTAAATTGCTAAATGTGTCTAGTGGTGACTGTATTGGAGAGTGAAATGTGGAGCTTTCTGACTCCCAAATCTGTTCACATTTAACTGGGTCCTATTGCTTTTTAGATCTCCTAGTTCAGTTGTCTTTTCTTCCACGCTTCCAGAAGATGCTTAGATTCAAACGGAATTTAAAGGCTGAGTTAGCTATAGCTTAACTTTGCTGTCACATGTAGAGTCGATAAAATAAGCACATTACTTGTTTTTTAAAAGAATGCTTACATGAAATTAAAACTGGACAGAAACTTTAAATGACATTTTCTTGTTCAGTTGAAGTAATCGTATGTGCTGGAAAAGTAGTCAGAGCTTGTTGCAATAAAGGAGTATAGATAGTTATATGAGGCAATATGAAAGGTCACTAATAGAGAATTGAAATAAAATGACCCCCTCACACCTACATTCACCTGTTCATTGGGCAATTCTTTTCAAATGACTTTGTAAGTGTCAGGTAAACCATCATTAGGTTTTCCTTACGTAGCTGCAAGATTAATGTGAAGAATGAAAATCATTGTTTTAATATCAGAGTATAGAATTTAAATATCAAACACTTTAATTCCATGAATTGGGAAGAATATGTGTAAAATTAGAACAGACAGCAAGAAAGGTCATTTTGACGGCAGGTAGTTTTCTGATTAGTGGATTTAATTTAAATCTATTGCATTTTAGAGTTTCATTTGGTAAAAGGAATTTCAACATTTTTTTTGATTTTTGTATGAAATAGTGAAAATTACAACTTGTCAAAGTAAGCATTTATCTGGACTGGATCCCATCCATAAATATCCAGTAAGCCAGTATCTTCCCCTCCTCATTTGGCATGCTACCTTCAGGAAAAGACAAATGATAAAGTAATCTTTTTATTAGGATTTTTAAGAGGCAACTTCCAGGTTTGGTATACACATATGAGTCTGCTATACCTTCCACAGTTATAGTACTGTCCAGGGATAACTGCAGTTCATATTCTTGACTCCAGAGTGTTATATGATCCTGAAGGACCTGTGTCAGTAAAGCAGCTTTAAATTGTTCAGTATTATTTTAATGTTATGTGATTTGCATTGCTTCTAGCTCTTTGAAAATTGTAAATTCAACTACAGGTATGGCGTCAGTTAATGAGACTGTTCGGATGGCTGAAACATCCTGTCCATAACCATTCCTGACTGTTGGGAGCATCGGACTGTTTTCAAGGAACCAGTATAAGAACCATGTTACATATAGGATTATGGTGTCCTAGTGAATGTGACAAATATAAGAAACATGAATTAATCCATGATTTGTTTGATTTGTAGGACATCAAGTTGCTTAATACAAATGAGAAATTTACTATAATCTTAAAAGACAAAGATGTTGAAATGGTGGGCAAAGATTTTGGGCTGCATCTGAGCGTCAGTTTGAAATCAGAGCATCTAGTCTGTCAAGGAGTAGTTTTACTTTTTAGCTGTGTGTACTTTATGAGCTTTTGAACCTCTTTTAGCCTAGGTTTCCTCATTTTAATTTAAGGAGAAAACATCTCACTTACACTTTTTCAAATGGTTGTCAGAAGGAATTAATGGGTCAGTGTATTGAAGATGATTAGCAAAGCCTTATACAAACTTGATAGTTCATTGTATTCCAAAGCTTAAGACTGAGTTGGTCCTATGGTATTACTTCGTGCATTTTCAGACAACTCCGAATTGTGCTTGGATAGTTCAAAAAATGATTTATTTTTCTCTTTGTGATCAGTAAATAAAGT